AAGTTGGGGGGGGGGGGGCAGATGGCAACCGTAATTACGGTGTAATTGAGAGAATAGACAGCGGACACGCTGAGGATGTCTGAGGCGGTTAAACACACAAGGCGGGTAGCATGTGCCAAGAAATAACTGACTGCGAGAAAGAATGAACAGTGACAGCAGTGAAGATGATAGGATAAGCATAGTGGGTGGGTGGTGAACAGGTGTCCACAATAACAAGAAGCAGTTTCTTTTCCGGGTAGAGATAATTGATAACTATAATGGATAGAGCGCAGAACGAGTGACGACAGTTACTACGACATAGTTCCATGTGGGGTGGCGATAAGTGGACGACAATTACCACGAAACAGTTTCCGTGTGAAGTGGAGATAATAGATTACGGTAACAGGTTGAACGAAGAACGGGTCTCGACAATTAACACAAAAGTAGCTGTGTGGCGGTTACGTAATCATAGGGGAACTACGGAAAAGTGCAAACTGAATGGCCATGGAGGGGGAACGTAGCAAGTTCTGATCGTGTGGGCAAAGGTCATCAAACTGGGAGTTGGTTAGGGCCGCACACGAATTGTTGGGATTTTAACAGAGTACAGGCAGTTCCGGTGTGCGTAATTTCAATCGTACAATAAAGCATCTTGCATTATTGGTTATCCAAGTATCAATCAATCGCGGGCTTTTATTCTTGACGTCATACAGCTTCTATCTGATTAGTCAGCACGATCGACCCGTGGTTCGTTGTCCTGAGGCCGTAACTCGTGGGAGCTTGGCTGACGTCATCTGAGAGGGCTGATTCACCAAATTTTTCCAGAAACTGTAACGCGTAGCTCCGTGTATTGCGTTATCACGCAAGCTAGGATGACCACAATACTGAACAAAGTTAACCGGTTCATTATTTTGCATAAATTAGTCAATCGAGGGATATAAAAAGCACAACTTTTTTATGAAATTCGAACTTTATTGAACTCATGAAAATCTGATAATTATGATATTTGAGTGCGATGGAAATGTCTGCGATAACCGACAAAGAGCAATGGACAGCTGTTTCGTCCTGTTTGAGACTCGTCAGCAGTGTGTACCTTTTGTCTCTGTCAGGAATCGAACCGCGAACAATCTGGTCGGGACTTCAAACCCTTACCTCTGAGCTACACGGTCGAAAATTTGATTCCGCGGTAGAAAGTTTTATTTACATTGTCGGCTACAACGTAGCACCCGTAATGTTGAAAACTGCAAACTGTTCGCGGGCAATATGTCGACATTTTCGTATTATTTACCACTCTAGGGGATATCATCGAACTCACCACCGCAAGATCTCATGGACTCAACGCGCGTCAGTGATGGAAAGTGCTGCGGCCATGGCTAATCCCTGTAAGCTGTTCCATTTCATTCGGGTCACCGGTAGGAAAGCCTTGTTCTCCAAAGTTTAGAACAGTGAGCAGGTACCCTCCTCGTGGGGGAGTCGATTGTCGTCCCCATTTTCAAAAAGGGCCCGCACCATGACTGCGCCAATCATAGGGGTATGAGTATCATCCCAATGGCGCCAAAGCTGTTGGTGTCCGTCATTCTCCGTCTATTGTACACTATGCGTGAGGAGCAGACCCGTGAACGACAAGCTGGGTTTCGCGCCCGTCGTGGATGCATCCATCAAATCTTCACCCTCCGACAGCTGCTAGAGCACCGTCATGCTTAGCATAGACCAATGATCATTGTGTTCTTAGATATCTGCGCAGGCTTCGACTCTGTCGATAGGACCGCACTACGGAACTGTTTGTTGAGGAATGGAGTATCTGAGAAGTATGTGTCGATCCTCAAAGAGTTGTATCGTCATACCTCGGATCGGGCTAGGGCCTATGGCGAACTTTCGCCACCGTTTGCCGTCTCCAATGGAGTCCGGCAAGGCTGCCCTATATCACTATTCGTTTTCAAATTTGTCATAGAGGATGTTCCACAGAATTCATTGTCCGGTCTAGCAAACGGTGGAGTCGAACTCTAGCAGGGAACAGAGTCCTTGGCTTAGAATATGCCGATGACATCGCTGTGCTGGGGGAAAACACAGGCAGTCCAAAGTGCCTTGAACCGCTTGGCGATAGAGGTATACAGGTATGGTATGTGCTTTGCACCTTTCAAGTGCAAAGTGCAAGTTCAAGACTGGCAGGAGCTTGTGCCTGCTTGTGCCTGCACTCACCCTCTGTGGTGATCAGCTGGAAGTAGTTGAAAGCCTTAAGTACCTCGGGAGCTTGGTAGCAGCTGGTGTTGGTGCTGGGGAGGAGATCACATCACAAATAGCGAAAGCTAGAGCAGCTTTTGTTAACCTGCGTCACCTGTGGTGCCACCATGACATCCGACTATCCCTTAAGGGATGGGTGTACATCGCCGTGGTTCGTAGCGTTTTGCTTTACGGTTGTGAGATCTGGCCCCTCCGCTTCGAGGATGATAATCGACTTTCTGTATTCAACCACCGATGTCTCCGATGCATTGCTTGTGTCTGGTGGAACACCGGGTGAGTAATGACCAGGTTCGGCGTTGTGTGCTGGATGCCGATGATCATTCTCTAACAGAAGTAATAACTGTACACCGCCTCCGTTGGCTTGGTCACCTATTGCGTATGCCTGCCCATCGACTACCCTTCCGTGCTCTCTTTGCACATACCGGGCAAGGCTGGAAGGAACGCTGTGGCAGTCAGACCATGGCGTAGAGGTATGAAGAAGCTGGCTTCAACTTTGGCTTCGGTTGGTGCAGCCCGCCTTCCAGGTTGGGGCCCAAGGGATGAGGATTGTCATTGGTTCGAGACGCTGAGATGTGGGCCAGAATCGAAGACTGTCGCGAATACTGTACGATCTGCCCATCGAAATCCCTTACCCCGTTAAAACAAAAACCAACACAAAAAATATCAAAAGGTTTACGGTGAAACACACAAAATTTTGTTATTCTAGCCATCTACCGTTTTCCACTGTTCAACTGTTTCACCTTTCCACTTTGTTCTGTATTCCAATCCACCTGACTTCTATTATTGTTATTTTTATTATTGTTGTGGCGTTGGCGCCACGCTTGTCTCAACGCCAGTGATATATATATATATCTTTATATTTCAAGAGAGAATGGAGGCGTACACTGAGTTGTAAAATGATTAATGTAACGTTTCGATCCGAACTAGGACTCGTTGTCGAACGTAAATGAAATGAGTGAAATAATGGGATTACCGTCTTTCCGTGCGCCTGTGCGCTGTTTTTACGTCTATCAGTCCACCAATTATCACGGGTTTTGCGAGTGACGTAATGTTTGTCTATCTCGACGTGTCGGTTGAACGAATTGACCGAGTGCAGAGCTTCGAGGATTAATCGTTCCCCCTTCTTCTTAGCTAGCGCCACAACCTTTGCGTTATCGATTGCAATCTCGTGACCTGTCCGTGCGCAGTGGTTCCAGATTTGTGACCTCGGGTCAGCGCGTCGGAGGGCAAGCTTGTGTTCGTGTAGGCGAGTGTGTAGTTGTTTGCCTGTCTCGCCTATGTAGTGTTGGTTGCAGCCCAGGCACGGGATTGCGTAGATTGCTCCTGATCGTTCGTGCTGTTCGACTCGGTCCTTGCCGTTGAAAAGAAACGATCGCACGGTTGCTGCTGGCTTATGGGCGATCTTGATTCCCAACGGTCGGAATATTCGTTCGGTGGCTTCTGACGTGCCGCGTATGTAGGGTAGCGTTATCCAAGTTCCTTCTTTCGTATGTGTTGTTTGTTTCTTACCTCTTAGGCACACTTTGATGAGACTCCTGGGATATGCGTTTGATTGGAACAGTTGAAAGAGTCGACTTCTTTCTCTTGTGCTACAGTGTGTGTTTGCTCGGCGGAATAGAGTTCGCACACAACTTTTTAGGTGGCACAAAGGGTGATTGCTGTTGTAGTTGAGGGTGCGGTCCGTCGTGGTCGGTTTTCGGTAGACCGTGGTATATATATATATATATATCACTGAATTCGAACAAATAAAATTTGATTCAAATGAATGTTGGAGTGATGAGAGAGTCGTGATGCTGTCGTTTTGCACTCAATCGTAGCTATGGTCCACACATTTAGCGGTTATTCAACGATGCGTGCAGTCAAGGGAACATCTGTTACCCCTGGGATGAGAAACCACTACTGAGATCCAACTATCTGAATCTCATGTCCCTTGATAATCTTTGTTTTTCGGCAGCACGCATTCCCTTTCGGTTATCGATACTCACTACCAACTATTGGGGGAAACAGTATTAACGGTAGCTATAATATCCATGACAATCTTAATAATATGAAGTTTCGTGACATTTTCTAACAAAACCGGTTCCTTGGTCATCACTTCCTGTATGGTTTTATTGGGTTTGTCATTTTAATCTCTTCAGATTGGTGGGTAAAAACTTGAATTCGCTCATCGGGTTCATCAACTGAAGAAGGGCATCAACGTTTGTCGTATACTTCAATCCCTGTGGCATACCAACCGGACACGTAGTGTGAGCAAGGTGTGTAAATCGTAGTCATACTGTTAGTATGATAAGGGGGCTAGATCTCAACCTCGAATAAAATGAATTTGGTTATTCTAAACGGGCTAATCTGTTGTCACTTACCGTTTTTCTCAACCAACTACAAGCAAAAACAATCAACAGTAAGCAGAGTGGTAACAACCTATTGCCGAACGAGACGCAATCTGGCGAAGTAGGAAGTCTTTTATTTATTTACGTGATAGGTTTTCATTACCATAAGCACACTAGTGCCACATCTGCAAAGCATCCACAGCATCATGTCCACAACCGGTGGATACAATGCAAGAGACCATTGATATCAAATCAAATTACCCAACTGTTTTTATACATCTCGGTGTGTGAACGGTTGTCATCCAGATAACCAACAATAAAAAGTACAACATCAGCAACAAAAAATGCCAGAAAATAATACAGCATTAATTTTTAGAATAATACTTTGCCTAGATTAGATCCAAAGAGTTCTTGATTTGCAAGAAATTTAGTAAAATAAGGACCATGCTTTGTTGTGAGCTAAATTTTTCTTACGCCTGTCAAAGAACCGCAACAATGCCACGGACAACGGATACTCACAAATCAGTTTCAGTTTGAACAACTATTAACCATAACCTTCGTGCTCCGGTTTATGATGCTCTCTTTTGGTTACCCATTTGGATAAACAGTAGGGGAGAGACAGGAAAGTTGAAAGTAGAGTGGTATAGAAAATTTGGAATTAAAGTCGACTAAGGTTGCAAAGAAATTGGGGAGATACACAAACGCCATTGTTTACGACACCCAACCATATCAGTCAGTGTCTCTAACTACCGGTTGCGATCATCCCGAGGTCCTCATCCAAGAAACCCAACGGGACCTATATGACCGAGTCTCCCGGTTTGGGTTTTCATACCCTCGTGCTAGGTCTTAGTTCGACCGCCCTTGACTTTATTCCGGTTTACGAAAGTGCAATGTTGATGGTTATGCCAACTGAAGCTGTTAATCACATCTCACAACACCGGTCTTCAAATCGGACAATTTTTATGGATGTCCTAATGGTTTTATTAATTGAATCACCATTACTCCCAATACTATCTCATTATGTGGACAT